GCCAGAGCGGGGGCACCGCGCACTTCTTTTTTGAGGTGTGAGCCTTTGCCTTGGCATACGACCAACCAGTCCACCACTACAAGTAGGTGACAATATATATATATATATATATATATATATATATATAACCTAATTATTTTAGAGCTACAAAATTCGTGGCCGATATCCCGGGTGGGTGTGCGCCACAGATGCGTGGCTCTACTGTACAACGACACTTGTTCGTGTAAGACACTTGTTCTTGCATATAAAGCTTCTTTATTTGGTGTAACATATACCACTGCGTTTTTATCAAGGATAACTCGAGAAAACATTGCGAAAAGCGAACAGACACACACACACACACACACACACACACACACACACACACACACACACACACACACACACACACACACACACACACACACACACACACACACACACACACACAAAGTCCTTATGTCAAATAATCGAATATTCGTGAAAAAGACACAGTGCACTCAAAACAGTGCAACAATCCACTCATAAGATGCCTTAGGCCGGATCATATAATCATCAACTCTGTTCTTTTTTACATAAATGCCGTATGGTGAAGAAGTATTCTGCCCGGCGTGCGCCTACCAGTCTCCGCTCCTTTACGAAGCCTTCTTAAAACTGGATAGATAAGAGAGAGAGGGAGCAAAGGCTACTTTCACCCGCTTGATCAAATAGCGCACTAATTCGTCCTGTTTTACGTCGGCCGGTGTAGCTCAGATAGTAGAGTGCTCGCTTAGTTATTGTTCTTGTTGCCCTTCACTTGTGGCTCTTACACACTGTGGGGGATCGGCCAATAATTGCGTGGTACTATAGATTATTATTCGTTTTTAGAGTAAATGAACTTACAAATTGTAAACGTTGCAAACTTTAGTTCAAAATTTTGATGATACCTGGATAGCTACATGGCACCTTCAATGTAACTTTTTTTTTTGCAGAAGTATTAAAGCAGGATCACACTAGGCATTACAAACATAAGAAAAAGTGCGGCTAGGCAGCCTATGTTTTCTCTTCCTTTCCGTCTCCTGTTTTCTATTCACACTTTTTGTCTTTTTTCTTGTTATTTCTGTTTATTTATATTTTGCGTTCTAGTTTTTACTATTCTGTTACTATTTCTCGTTCAGTTCACTATTGTAATAAGGTCATTTGAGTGTTCGCTTCATCTCGGTTATAAATTGCTTTTGAACACTCCCATACTCGACTCGAACTAGTTAACCTATTAACGGAGCCCAATATTTCCCGAGTCACACGCAGAGCGCGAGGTATCTCATGAAAGCGGTGAAGGAGTATGAAGGAGTATGAAGATGAGCAGAGGGCTATCCGCAGAGGGCTACGCCCCCTGCGGATAGCTTTCGTAGAGGGCGAGCTAGAATCAATACATGCATAGGCGTGCGTACGGGCGTCAATAAAAAACAATAAAGAAGATAAACATTAATAAATAAATTTACAAGAATTAGACAACTTAAACACTGAAGACCACAATACTACCGCCAGACACCGGATTTGCTCTAATTCGGAAGAAATGTTCATTATTGTTCTCAGTTATAACTGAGAACAAGAATGACACTTTCCTGAACATGCGCTGTAAAACACGGCTTCTGAAAATGTGCAAGACCATGTGAATAAACGAAAAGTTACGTTAAGGAAAAATTCAGAAAGGAGACCAAATCAAGCATTGTAAAATTAGGTGTGCATAAGATAAACACGGAACCCCACGCACGCACGCACGCGTACACACACACGCACACACACACACACGCACACGCAGACACACACACACACACACACACACACGCACGCACACACCAATAATGTGAGCACTTCTAAAAGAATTAATATTTTATTTTTCTCTTCCTTTCGATGTAAAAGTCGTCAAAGTTAGCGTTATAGTAATCAATACACGCAAGTTCTTCGATTACCTGTACGAATATTGATTCAGGACTTCCATAGCTGATAGAAGGCCGTTTATATTCAAAGCGCCTCACCCTTAATTCTTTCACCTCTGGCTAGAGAAATTTTAGCCAATCAGAAATTTGGCATCTCGAGTCCAACCCTCTATTATGCACGCACAGTCATGTTTGTTCGGTCGACATGTGAATCGCTTTTTCCGCAATCTCCATGATAGACAGTGGACACTAAATAGAGGTTGACGTTATTTCAGACAGTACCAACGTGTACTACTGGCACATTGCACACAATTGCTGCTGAGATACAATCTAAGACACATTCAGCCCCTCCCCCCTCCGCCCAAGAAAAAAAATACCAGAGGTGGTCCACTTGGCTTTCATAAGCGCACCTAAAAGATACTTTCTTGTGCATTATGTTTGTCGGATAACAAGAATTCTTGATTAAAACGCACGTTACTCCCATATATCATTTACTTTTTTTAGCATGAGTCAGCAATACAATCATATGAGAAAGAATTTTGTAAGACAAAAATGACGCCAGGATGATCAAAACAAATGTTACAATCAATATAATTTATTAATATCTGGAGCCTTACGTCGCAAAACCGTGATATGATTATGCGAGGCGCCGCACTGATGGGTTCTGGAAATTCTGACCAACTGGTGTTTAACATGCATTGAAATTGCAGTCACGGCCGCTGGCAGTGTACAGGAGCCTCTATCAGGCCACAGCTATGGTGACGCAGCTGTTGCCATGCTCCGCTGTGCTTTTTCTTTTTTATTAAATGTATATAAAGAGAGGTTGGTGCCAATGCGTGGCACCGGCTACTCCCCTTGCACAAAAGACGACATGGCTTATTTTGTAGCAAACACAAGGCCATACATCTGTACATAGCACAACGCCTACGCACTGAGTCGACGTTTTTCAATACTTGCTGCATGAGTGTCCACACCACACAGAAATGTGTCCACACTACATAGAAATGTGTCCATCACGCGACTGATGTGACACTGTGAGAAGCCACAGCTGGCACCGTTCCAGGTCACGGACGGGCGAGTGGACCGATTCCGCGAGCGTCATTCAAAACATCTTTCTCCTGTTGCGAAGCGCACCTCCGACGACGTTACGAAGGGCGCTCCGAAATCCCACCGCTGCAACCACTGTTGCGAAAGACGGCGACGCCAACACGGTCCCGAAGGCGCCACTGCTTCGAACTCCGCAGGGAAGGTCACCAGCCGTTCGGTAGCGTAGGTTTCTCAGCTCGCGACTGCTTTTGCGCAGAGCTGATAGACGAGCGGACGAGACGACGGTGAGTTAAACAAGGTTTATGTACAGCATATATACAGAGGCGTTACAAATTCGGCACTGGGGCCGACAGAGACTCGAAGAGCCGAGCTCTCCTCTCTAACACATAGGTCTGCTCTCAAACGGGTCCGCTGCGACACACATGTCGGCTCTCCAACAGGTCTCGCTTCACCTAGGACCGCCGCTCGCGACGCGCCGCAGGGCTTCTTTTATATGCACCGGGTCCAACCCAAATGTCCAACCAGAAGCGCCGCTGGTCGTCAGGGCAGACTCCTCCAATGGTGTCGCCGCTGGGCCGCGTCATTCTTTCTCACCGAATCTGGAGAGGCTGCGCTGCAGGTGGCTGCACCCAAGGACGAGTGACGTCGCCGCGCATTGCGTCAGACCCCCAGACATAAAGGCGCCCGTTGTTTACTCGACGGGCTCGCTTGCTGGGGTGACTCACTGCACGTGCACGCCAGAAAGGCGCCGTCCGCCTGTTGACGCCGTTGAGTTGTTCGCGTCAGGCGGGCTGGCCTTGACACAGATTGCCTTTCTCAGAGGCACGGACGTCCGCTGTGGACTCGCAGGCATAACACTCCTCTGAACCATGACGTAATGAAACAAACGTGATAGTCCAGGCGCGCACACGCCAAGAGAAGCTTGCCGCCATTTTTATGATATCGGGTGAGCTCCTGAATTTTTTAAGGTGTTATATACGCCTCGATCAAACGCGACTTTGAGCGCCAGCGACGACATCAGGAGTCACCACAAATCATCAAAATATAAAACGTCATCATAAAATAATCGCATCTCTACGTCGCTTGGTAAAACTTGCGTCAGTCATGAATGCAGCGCAAAATATTCCTTGGTGTACATGCATATACATGTCACTTATATCGAGAACATTGTAGTAATTCCCAATTTAGACTTCTCGAGAAATATCAAACAAAAAAGTATCACGTTGAGTACGCACTAGGGACAGGATATCATTGTTTCGTTCAACTGTTAGATGTTAGAGGCCAATTCCCCAATTTTTTGTCGTTTCACTATAGCCTACTACTCGCGCCATCGAAGGCATCACCCATGGGTAGATACCCTGTTGTCATCCACGTGTCAAAGCAATTCTCACGCCTAATTATCTCGAAATGCCACCAATACTTCAAACTTATCAGTTCTTTAAATAACAGTGTGCGTAATTTTCAGACTACACTATATCGAAGAGTTCACATTTACTCATGCACTAACAAGTGGTGTTCACGGCATGCCCACGCGAATGATTGACGCATGTTCTTATATCACAGTCTCCAATTAAGTAGGACTGAAACTTCAATAACCATCCCAATCATCGTCCCGTCCCACATGGTTAGTAATCACTGTCAAGTTAAGACACCCTAATTCACCCAATGCTCATGTTAACTTTGCATTCTGCAAAATTCAAAGAGATTAAAAACGCCTAAAAGAGTTTATTAAACACAAACATGTTGGTACATCCTTTTTTACACAAGATATCGTGGGTGCCAGGGTTAAATGATGGCCGGAAAAGTTATTGTGCAGAGGTGGAAATGCGGTAGGCCTGGAGCCCTCCACGGCCGCGTCCCTCATAATCATATGGTAATTTTGGGACGTTCAACCTCACATATCAATCATCGAAGTTACTGCACAGCACTTGTCGCACGAGTCAATCAGCGTAAAAAATAAAAAAAACTCCCGGTATTAAAAACATCAAAAGAAAAACACCACTTCCTCACGTCGTTTAACAAAGGCCCACGGTCTAAAACGAAATGCCTAACATCCTAATTGGGGCGCTGGCGCAATTCACAAATCGCGCTTAATATCTTCAATGCCGGACCAAGGGGGACGCCCAAGTCAATCAGGTGGCCAATTCCAAGAACTAGCAAGACTTCTCCGTCGACATCTCCTTTGCGAAACTTCTCAGCGTGCAAGGAGCATCCGGGGATCCCCTTGACGTACTGTACCACGTCTTCTACCGTCCACTCCTCGGCTGAATTCTCAGTAGGAGCCTGTGCAAGCGTACTCGGACCAGGCGGCGAGGTCTGCGATGCGATTTCACGCACACTCGTACGCGTACGTGCGCCGTCCGCGATCGCACGCTCACCCGCGCACGGACTCTGGGATGGCGGGCAGAGCGCAGGAGCCGCCAATTCATCGCCCTCTTCTATCATGAGTGCGTCGTCTGAGGCTGCAGCTTCGGATGCGGTTTGCGAAGACGCGTTGGCCGCCTGGTTGCCCGGGTTCGTTGTTGGGATGCTGCAGCTCCGATCGTGCTTCCGCTGAGAAGCGGTGGTCGGCTCGTGTCCTCCGCAAACGCATATCACGGTAGAAGCCGGGTTTCCCATCGCGCAGGCGACGCACGGTGCCAGGAGTGGCGGAGGAGGCGGCGTACTCGGCGTAGAAGTAGGCTTAGCAGCAACCGCCGATGTAGCGGTTAAAAGTCTCGGATCCACGAGGACTAGCGCGTGTGACGCCCGATATCCGACACAACGTCGAGTGGCGGCGGTCAAATGCGGTGCGTGCATTGCGGTTGGCGAGAGAGTGCTGCTGCCGAGGACGGGCGGCGACTGCGCTTGGTCCCGGCTCTGCATTGGGTTGGGCTCTCAATCCACACTCGAACGGTTCGGACAACTTCTGCACGAAGTGGTAGCAGATCACGTGCGTCGTGACGTCCGGTTTGGTGCTCAGTTTTGGGGGTATGCGGGCGAACGGTGGTTCTGTCGCACTTGTAGCCGGCGCAGGTAGCGCCGCTAGGTCCGTGGCTTCTAGCCAGCGTTCGGCGCTTTGGCGGGAACACGAACCACGATGTTGTCGGCCGCCGCGGCACGCCATGCCTCTTGTCTTGCCGGTACCCCGCCGTCCTCTCGGTCTTCCACGTTTTGTAACGTTGCTCATGATCGTCCTCCCGTCTCAAGCAATGCACGACTACGAATACGATGCACCTAATGAAAGAAACTTGACGGAGCCGCCGCTGCGAACTGCACTCCAACAAGAGCGCGCGGTGTTCTGAGCGCAGCTTTTATTAACGGTCAGCTCGACATCAAACGAGCGCTCACGGCATCTCACGGCAGCGAAATGAAACACTCATAACGTAACTCGAATCAACGCCTCCTTTAGAAAAATGCCTGCCGCATGAGAAGAAAAACGGGTGCAACACCCTTTCTCTCATTCATTTTAAATTGTTCTCAATCGCTAGCGTCACTTGTGGCGGACGGTGCAACAACACAACGATTTGCATAGCCTCCGAAACAGTGGTGCACAATTGCAGGTCTTGAACAACTCTCGACTGACGCGCCCTTATGGACCGCAAATGAAAAACGCGTAGCTGGTACTGCCCGCCGCAATGACGACAGTGTCGGTCGCGAGCGCTACCGCGCTGAGATTTTTCAAAAGTGAAGGCAGGCCAACTACGATGGGAGCGCGAGCCACTCCTCAGGCATCTTTCTAAAGGAGGCGTTGTCCAAATGAACTGCTGATGATGATGTCATTGCTGATCGAGATTTTTATTTTCGGTTTCGTGGTCAGTCTTAATCGCAATCACGTCGCAATGTTAATCGACTGCCGTACCGCCTTGCGGAATTCAGGAGCGTTCTTCCTAGGATGATAAATATGCTGACGCTCGCTTGTTAGGCTGTGCTAGCCTCAGTGCTAACACGTTATGAAAAAACGAGCACGAACCACTTTGCATTACTTACATTACTAATATACCGAACCCTCTGTGACGTGATAAATCTACTTCGTTCTCGCGAGAAGCAAAGTTTTCGTGAAACTATGCAGCAACTCGCGCGTTCGAGTACACATATTAGATTTTTGCAAGATGTTATCGTATGACCTTAACAGTTGAAACTCACCTTGTTTTACGTGCGTATAGCATTCGTTAGTGTTTTTATAGTGCATGAATCCTTTAATATTCCTTGTACGCGGAAAGCAGCGCAGGGTCGCGATTCTCTCTTTCGAACCTTGGCCAACTGCGCCGCTCGTTTAATACGTTTGTTGATAGATGGCAGCACAATGCCAACAATTCGGTTTTTGCCGTGTGCAGGCGAGTTCATGCTACCCGTGATTGTGTACTTAGCTTTGGCCCCGGTGGCGGAAGCTTTAAGTATTTCGTGTCTTTGATGTTCTAGAATATCTGTCCATGTCAGGAGCGGATCCATACGCATAGCCCAGGGTGGGTGCGATATGCCAGGATCGGAGGTCCGGAAGAGTAATTCTCGGGCCGAGGCATGGGTGAGCTCATTGCCTTTAACTCCGCAGTGACCGGGTATCCATATCAGCTGTTTCCATACGCCCTCTGAGCGTGAGGACGAAAGTTGTGTAGGAAGTCGATGCGCAATGGGTCCAATGTAGCCTTTACAAAAAATTTGGTAGGCTTCTATTGAATCTGTTAGAATGAAAGTGGACTTCGGGTTTCGTAGGGCGAGGGCGATTCCTGCTTATTCCTGACTAGTTGTGTTTGTGTCCTGGGCTGATCTACAATCAACCTGTTTTCCACTATGAATGACGCTTCCTGTTTATTTGCCGCTCTCTGGTCTAGCTGCATCGACAAAGAAGGCGTCCTCAGTATCTGATCATGAGTAGTTGTCGTGAACTTTTGCCCGTGCCCGACGTCGATGTTCGTGGAACTGAGGATAAATATGTTGCGTGGAAGTGGTGTGATGATGAAGTCCTACCTCCATTCATGTAGGATACGTTGTTCTCCCCTTGTCTCCCAAGCCATACATGCTGTCCAAGATAGATACCAACACATACGAACCACAGTGCAGGTTCTGCGTCACTAAAACAGCCACCCTGTATTACATAGTATGGGCATGCCCACACAATTCACTTCTACAACACAGAGCACAACACAACACTGTAGGGTTCTCGAGAGGGAGCTCTGTCCAGCTCGGATCCGAAGACCCAAGAGGCCCTCGCGAGACGAGCGAGGACAGCGGCCCGTGCTAATGGGATCCCGCACGAAAAAACCCACTCACCGACATTGCTTCCTCGGTCGCAAATAAATGGTTTATTCTCTCTTTTTTTTGCCGTGAATCGGAGTTGCATGAACGTGGTGAGTGACACCGTGCTTGTGTTGTACGTGGGGAGTGGCGTGTTGTTGTTATTGAAGTAGTTCTACGGAGAGTTTAGTTTCAGCAGTGCTATTCAAAGAAACCGTCTTGACGTCGAGGAGTTTTCACTAGACGTAGAACGCGTCGAGAGTGACGGCGACGATGAACGATCAGCTAAATCACGAGCAGTGAGTTGTCCTTTACGTCCCCTCGTGCGTTAATGCGCGTGTCATGCTCGTAAGTCACTTTGATTGCATGTGTTGTACAATATCCTTCAGCGAGCTCAGAATGAAGGCAAGGTTGCGTTTGGCGTTGCATATCTCAGTTGCCAGACTTAGTGGTGGTGGTTGCCAGATTGCCGCCATATTTGGCAGAGAAATTTGCCCTTCTGTAGTTGTGACTTTTCCGTGAGGGCTTTATGTCGTTCGTGGTGCATGTCGCCTGCCACGCATTTCGCGAGCGCGTGTGCCATGAACTCGTTTGCGTGTGCGACGTTGGCCGTTTTAATTAACGGAATGAACGGTGTGTTGCAAAAGTCGCGGTGCATTCTTTTGCTGTGTGCGCAGCTGTGCAATTAAGAGACCGTGTCTCGATCAGTATTGGGGACGACGCGTATGAATGCGGGGAAGTGAATTTGTGAGCCGCGTAGCTGGAGCACGGATTATCTCCGTAACTGTGCGTACCTAGCCTACTGCGCACAACGACGCGTTTTCCGGGGAAACTGAATAGAGTCCGAACGATATGTCTTGTGCAGACACATCTAGGGCAAGCGTAGCGTCCCCGTCGCTTTGGTCGACGCGGAACGATCAGCTGTCCAGAGAGCCTACTTCTGAGATGTGATCGTCGTACACGATCAAAATGGGAAGTGCACCGCCTGCTGCGACTTTATTTAGCTTCCCCAGAAGATGCGTCGGTGTGCGCATTCGATTAGGTACGCACCTCTGCGGAGATATTCCGTGCTTCGGTGACACCAGTGTGACGTATATTGAAACGCGCCTCACAAAATCTCTTCCCCTTAAACATTCATACGCGTCGTCCCTTGTACTGAGACACGATATCTTATTCGCACATCTGCGCACACAGCAAGAGAACGCGCCCCGAATTCCGCAACACGCGGTTCATTCCGTTAATTAAAGGTATCTAACGCCAAACAGAACCTTGCCCTTCATTTAGTCCAATCACAGTGGATATTACGGAGCATCGCATGCCGCTAACACGTTTGAGCTCGTCCACTGAAGCGAAATGATTAGAGCAATGAAACGTGCAGTTACGACTACAGTCCACGCCTCTCTGCTGACTTATCCTACACTTCACCGGTACCGTCCGAACAACGTTGTTGTTCGAGGAATTTTCACAATTTCCACAATTTCGACGTAGCGAAAAGCGTACGCGTGCATTCGTTTCGATATCACAAGGATATTGCGGTCACGCTTATGAAACCTGCAGCACCCGTGTGCAGTGAGTTGTGCACTGTTAGAACCGTCACAGTCTGATCATGGTTGCGACACAGGTGCTGCTCAATGGAAAGTTAAATGCCAGTGTTCTTTTGAAGAAGCAACTCCATGGTGCTTACAGCGCAAGTAATCACGATGGGGGAATTTTGCTACATGCATGCGCACTGAGATTATAGGGGACGACGCGCGTGTGTGCCTGACGAGGAAGACGAAGGGCAATCTCTACTCGATCGCTGGTGAACTGGTCACGCCATTACCGCTGGTTTCAAATACATCTTATCCACAGCCTCGTCGATACGACGTCTCTTCTTTTCCGTAACATATTTGGTGGAGGTGGAATGTTCCCCATCCTCACCATGAAGCATCGCAGTGGCCGCACCGTTCAGTCTACGGCCATGGCTACCAATAACGACAACCCATCAGCGTCTCCATCCGTAGCTCCAGCCACCACATACCTGACGATGCCCCATCCCCGTGATCCCGGTACATTCTCCGCACAACCTGCGCTTGACGTTGACTACTGGCTCCGTGTGTACGAGCGCGTTAGCCAGACACACCGATGGGACCCCACAATGATGCTCGCCAACATAATATTTTACTTGGACGGCACCCCAAGTGTTTGGTTAGAGGCCCATGAGACCGAGCTCACCAGCTGGGATATCTTCAAGGAGTGACTACGCAACGCCCTTGGGGACCCGTCCGGCCGCCGAATGAAAGCGCGAAAAGAACTTGCAAATCGTACGCAGTCCTCAACTGTGTCGTATGTCTCGTACATGCAGGACGTGCTCGCGTTGTGCCGGAAAGTGGACGAGCAAATGACAGTGACAAGATGGGCCACAT